CCCCCCCCCCCCAGTTGGCATGTGTCCTCAGGCTCTCAAAAATAAGTAAACATTAAAAAAAAAAAGACAAAATGCTTATGTGTGTGTATGTAAAGGGGAAGCAAAAAGCCTTAGAGTTTCTAAAGTGGCCAGAGTCCACAGCAAAGCAGCCAAGTCCCTCAGCCCTTGCGTGCCGTCCTGGGGGCCCCCGTAGGGTTGATGACGGAAGACCGGATGCTGCTGATGTTGTTTATAAAGACCGTGGGGCCCAGGTAGCAGTGTTCTGGGCAGGTGCATCTTGGTGACATCTGCTGCCACTGAGTAGGTCTCCTTGGGAGCTGGCTGTCCCCCCCCTTGTCACTGCTGAGGCTCTGGAAGGAAATCGCAGGAATAGAAAACAATACGTGATTTTTCTTGAAAATTATAACTTTTTAAAAGATTTATTTAAGTAATCTCTGCACCTGCTATGGGGCTCAAACCCACAACCCTGAGATCAAGAGTCTCATGTTGCACTGCATGAGCAGCCAGGCACCCCCTGAAAATTAAAACTTTATTATTTTTTAAGTTATTACTATTTCTAATGTTTTTATTTTTTAATGTTTTTTTTTTTTTTTTTATTTCTGAGAGAGTGAGACAGCGTAAGCAGGGGAAAATCAGAGAGAGACACACAGAATCTGAAACAAGCTTCAGGCTCTGAGCTGTCAGCAGAGAGCCTGACTTGGGGCTCGAACCCACGGACCATGAGATCATGACCCGAGCTGAAGTCAGATGCTTAACCGACTGAGCCACTCGGGTGCCCCTGTTTTTATTTATTTTTGAGAGCCAGAGCCAGAGCCAGAGACCGAGCATGAGCAGGGAGGGGCAGAGAGAGAGGGAGACACAGAATTTGAAGCAGCTCCAGGCTCTGAGCTGTCAGCATAGAGCCTGATGCGGGGCTTGAACTCATGAACTGTGAGATCATGACCTGAGCTGAAGTCGGATGTTTAACCGGCTGAGCCACCCAGGTGCCCCAAAAATTAAATCTTTAAGTGAAAAAGAACCAGATAAGCAATCCCGTGACCCTACAAATTTAATGGATTATGGAGTGATATTGAAATAAAAATGAGCATATGTAATTTTTTATTGATGTAATTGCTACTTACCGCACGTGACATGTATTTTTTCAACTCTCAGGTGACTCTTTACTCTCCACTGTGGTGTTTTCAGACTTTGCAAAGACTCAGGCCCCGAATGGACCTTTGTTCAGGGCCTCTAGGTTCTGGCCCCTTGACCATCTGTCTTCACGTGATCTCCGGGGAGCTCTGTCTGCCGGCAGGTGCTTGGTGCCCCTCCATACTTGTAGAGCCAGAAGCTCCACCACTGAGCCCGGAAGTATGTGTGATGAGCCCCCCCCCCCCCCCACGAGATTCTGGAGCCCATGATGTGTGAGAACCAGGCCTCTGAGCGAGGATAACCCTTTCCCTGGGCACCTGACAAAATGGAAAGGTGTGGACTGTTTCTTCAGCCCTTTTCCTCTTTTGTGAGGATGATGGTGATGGCGGGGATTCTGTACAGCGGCGATGTCGTGGTGGTGAGGACGGGGACGATGGTGGTGGCTACTGTGATGAACGGCTGTGTGGGCAGCGATGGTGGCGCCCTGCCTCGCCGCCCTCACAGAGAGGCTGGGGAGGTTGGGGCGTGGAAGGGGGGCCCGGCCCCAGGTCCCCCGAGTACTCACCTTGCACTCTTGAGAAAGGCATGGAAACTTCCTCCACCTTGGTTTCCCTGCTGCAGGATGGAAGTAGCTGTATCTTTACAAGCTATAGCAGCCTGTGCAGACATCCAGGGCTTTGTTAGAACTCGGAGGACTGTCCTCGATTCTTATCACGTGACCTCTGTAGGTAAAGGCGTAGAGAGGAAAGAGAACCGTCAGTGAGAACGGTCTGCGATGTTAGACTGTTTTCACTTACATTCTATGTCACCGATACTTGGACATTTCTGTTTGGTTCATCTTTTCTTAACATGAATTTTAAAGCCCGTTTCCTTAAAAACATGTTCAAGAAAACAAGTACGGGAAGCACAAGGGGTCACTGAACCAGACTCCATTACCTGCCCCTCGGTGTGGTGTTTGGGGAGAGGCCTGGCTGTTGGTGGCCCCTCCGTACAGTCCGTGCTGTGGTCTCCACGCAGGGCGCCTCTGCCGCGCCTGCCGCCGCCTCTGCCAGAGTCAGTGAGCCGCCAGGATGCTCACTCTAGTTGCCTTTGCCGTTGCCCGGCCCAAATCAGGTTCTGTTTTATCTACAGGAGCCTCATCTCATTCTGCTAGCTTTGATCAGGCCGTCAGGGTTGAGACGCCCTCCTCTGCTGGCTTCTCCTCTGAGCCCCAGGTGCCTCCTTCCCGACGCAGGGCCTGCTGCCTCTGCAACACACACTCACCCCTAATGAGCTACTTAAAAAATAAGCATTGATTTCTAGATAAAAATCACAATTAATTTTAAATGCCCTCTGTAAGCCTTGTTACAAATAATTGCCAGAAACACACAGGGTCTGAAATTAATTAAAAATCGACAGCCTCGTTTGATGTGGAATGTGCTTCTCATGTTTTAGTTACGTGTGTGAGCCTCGTGGACGCTACTCAGGCGGAGCCAGTGGCTGGGAGGTGCCAGGTGGGGGGATTTGTGGGAGGAGCCGCTGAGCTGTCTGTACCCCCATTCCCCCACCCCCCGCCAGGTCTGGAGTCGTCCAGACCCGGCTCGCAGCCCTGCATCCTCTTAGAGTGGTTGACTTACTTCCCATGCCTCCAGGTCTGCATCTGTGAAATGGGTTTATCAATGTCGGCCCCACAGATAGCTGGTGGAGGGTGATGGCGAGAAGGTACCTGCTCAGAGGCTGTGGTCAGTGCCTAGTGTCAGCCTTCTGTCCTCACCGTCCCTTCCCCAGACCAGCCCTGGAAAGGTTACCCCACACTTCGGTTATTTGGGTCATATTGTTTCATTCATCCGCTGACTTCCGCCGTGAGATAAACACAGAGGCTGGCTGGAAACACAGAAGGCAGAGGCTGTGGACAGAGTTCCCCTCCTCCCTGGGAAGCACCTGCTCAGGGTGGGGAAGTGACTTGATCAAGGCCAGGCCTGGCGAACCAGGCGTGAACCTTCCACGCAATCATGCTGCTGGCCCCGCAAGGCTGTTGGGGTCATCGGGAGTTGGCCTTTGCCAAGGCAGAAGGAGCCAGTGGAGGGCCACGGCGCCGTGATTCCCCCGCCCTCACCCGGGGTAGCGTAAGCCCCTTTCTCAGCAGTGGGGTGGATGTGGAGAGGCGAGGACGGCAGCATTGCTATAGTAACAGGTGCGTTTATATTAACTTGCATTCATGGTCAACCTTTTGTCAGTTTCCATTCCGGAATTCTGAGAATCGCTGCAGTGTGTCCTTGAGCATAGAGCCCTGTAGCCCTTTGCATTTCATCATTGGTCCCTGAGTAGCTATTGTGCGGGGCCACGGAGGAGCCGGGGCCGCACCCCCCGCCCCCCTGCCTAAGGAGCACCTGTGCGGGGTTAGATCTGCCCAGGACTGGGCCTTAGGTCCTGCTCTTTGCTGAATACAGATGCTGGGCAGTTGCTACTTCCTGTCTCTTCACACCTCGGTTTCCTCATCTGCAGATAGGATAGAGCGACACTGACCTCGTTACTCTGTTTGTTCATGTGTTCATTGGGGAGGGGGTGGTGTTTCCTGAGCACCTACTGTGTGCCTGGCCTTGGGTGCTGTGCTGGAGAAACAGACCAACTGCACAGGGTCCCTGCCCTCTACACGCTCCTAGCCAGGTCTGGGGACACACCAGGGCACCCCACCTTGGTGAGTCAAAGGAGGGAGCTCAGAGGGGGTCCTGAGAAGGACCCACCAGTCCAGCCAGGGGCCCCAGGAGACAGAGACCCCGAGAGGGTGGAGGGGACACAGGAAAAGTGCTTAACAACTCGTGCAGCCTCAGTTAGGGCAGTTCCTTGCCTTCCTCCCTCTGTCCCTGCTCGCCGCCTCCCCTCCTCCTCTCCCAGTTCCCCAAGTACCTCCTAACCCTTTCTCTCCCCCTCCCTTGGGAAGCTTTGGATAGTAAGGGCCAGTTCCTCGTCAGGTGTCTTCTATGCCTTTGGTCCCAGAGACAAATACATGGGCCCCCCACCCCCACCCCATGTCCCCACAGACAGCGGCTGCAGAAAAAAAGAGAACAAAGCTTGGGAGTTATTTATTTTATTTCTCACTTTGCAGAAATGTTTATTTGCACGCCGCACGGCAAGGTGGAATGGTTTGATTTGATTAGCAAGTCTAAATGTATTAGCAGCAAGACAGAAACGATATTACAATTAGTGGTAATTAGCCGTGCTGATGACTCTGGGTGGCAGTGCAAGGTGACAGATGTAGCTTTCTGGTCCCGGGTTAGATTGGGGCGGGGCACTCTCCCCTTGCGCAGGGACTCGCTCGGCTCCCTGGAGACCCAGGGCCCGGCCCTGTCGGCAGCAAGTCTGAGTCACAGCTAATTAGTCACTTCACAGAGACACGTGTGCCAGACCCACTTGTGTAAAGTTGACTTCTTGGTGTTTGGTGGGCAGTGGGCCTGACTTTCGGGGATCCAGAACCTTCCAGGCTGCTTTGACTCAGCGCCATGGATGACTGTAGCCGCGGATTCCTACGCACCCTACTTCTCTCTCTACACGTCTTTATCACGCACAGTCTTCCGTACCCCATTCACTTGGGTTTCTTTGGGTTGTGTCCCCGAGGCCCCCGGCCTGGGCTGCAGGAAGGTGCCCGTGGTTACAGTCGCCATTGTTGCTGTGCCGGGCAGGTGGTAACACTGTAAGGCGCTGGGGGTTCACTTAGGGGACCCTGGAGACTGTGTGCCTCGTCTTTATAAGTTAGTTTACCCCACGTGTTGTCAGTGACTTTTCTTTGCTTTGTTTTGTTTCTTTTAAATGTTTATTTTTGAGAGAGAGAGAGAGAGAGAGAGAGAGAGAGACAGACAGACAGAGAATTCCAAGCAGGCTCCGTGCTAACAGCAGACAGCCCAGTGCAGGGCTTGAACTCATGAACCCTGAGATCATGACCTGAGCCGAAGTCAGATGCTCAAACAACTGAGCCACCCAGGCGCCCCAGTTGTCAGTGACTTTGAACAAGGATAAGGGTGGGGGTGGAAATGCCCCCGGGACCCAGCCTGCCCTCTAGGAAGGAGTTCCCAGTCTTACTGCGGAAGCTCCAGACTTGAAAACCTGCAGAAACCAGCCAAGTGCTTCTGTGAGGTGAAGGGAATGATTTGGAGCTGGATGGACATGGGGGTCACCTGACTCTGAGTGTCTTGAATGCCACTGAGTTGTTCACTTTAAAATAGTTATTTTGGGGGGCACCTGGGGAGCTCAGTTGGTTAAGCGTCCAACTTTGGCCAGGCTATGATCTCCGGTTCATGAGTTCGAGCCCCGCGTCGGGCTCTGTGCTGACAGCTCAGAGCCTGGAGCTGCTTCCGTTTCTGTCTCCCTCTCTCTCTGCCCCTCCCATGCTCATGCTCTGTCTCTCCCTCTCTCAAAAATGAATAAACATTAAAAAAATAAAATAGTTATTTTGGGGCACCCAGGTGGTTCATTCATTTGAGTATCTGACTTCGGCTTACGTCATGATCTCACCGTTCATGAGTTTGAGCCCCACATCGGGCTCATGGCTGTCTGTGCAGAGCCCGCTTCAGATCTTCTGTCTCCTTCCCTCTGACCCTCCCCTGCTTA